AGTTCGAGCCGTCGTCCTTGAGGTTCGCGACATCGAATAGCTTGTTCGACTGCGAGGGAGTGAGTGTCGATGCGACGGGGTTCGGCATCGGTGACGGTGTGGTGACTGGAGCGGGAGGCGGTTCGATGGGGGGCTGGTTAGGCGGTGTGCTGGCATCCGGTGCCGTGGTGTTGGTACCTGGGGTAGACATCTTGTAAAGACTGGATTGAGCTCGATTGGACGGTCCGATTGTTGAGAGACTTGAGGTTAAGCTGAGAGCGCAGGGCTCATAACCTTTTGCGCGGTGTCGTGTCTAGTCAAGAGCACGGTCAGTGCCTCAGTCTCGCGCGCACGGATGGTGGCAAGAGCTCTATATTAATTACCTAGTCAAGAGCACGGTCAGTGCCTAAGGAATGACTGTTAGTGTACCATAAAAGAGCGACATAAAACGAATGAGTCGTACCTCAGTCTCGCGCGCACGGATGGTGGCAAGAGCTGAGGTACTCGAGGAGAAAATCGACGAGACGAGCCCGGCGCGATGCTGATGTAAGCTTAGCGCCGAGCGTTCAGTAAGTGAGTGAACTAATCGGGTAAGTAGAGCGCTTATAGCGCGTAAGTAATTGTAAGTAAGTCCAGTGTAACCTCCTTCAACAATGAGTACGCCATCTTTGCCCGCAGCTATGAGCGGCTCCAGCAGCTTACGCATGCACAGGTGGAATAGGCGATATCCTTCGAGTGCGCGCCGCTTCTCAGAGAAGCATTCCAACTTCGCGACCGGGAGGTAGCCGAGAAGGACTGTCGCGTGCGCAGAGGGCTTGCGGCGGTCGCTTTTTTCTATGTTACCTATCGTAAGATACACAGGCCAGGCGGATTTGTCCCCGCTCATACGGGACAATGTTGTCTTGTCCAAGGCAAGGATGACGGGAGCCACAGTGGCACCAGGAGGAAGAAGTTTCTGTCATGTCACCACGGTAAGCCATCGTTGACATCCCATCTATCACACATGCTCACCTGCACGTCCCACCACCAGTTTGCCGTCCACATATTACCATATATGCGTTCCTTCCCACCTGCATCGGCGTACTGCCTCTCCGGCGCGTATCGGATTGAATCCCGGAAGGCTGAGTTTCCCATGAGCTCCCGGATGCAATCCACCGGATTGCGCTGCCATAACTCAACCTTCTCCTTCTTCAGTCTACCATCCTCCCCCACCCTGTCGCCTATGGCCTCGAACACTTCGACGTTCCAGCTCGCTTCGCCGCTTGGCAGCGAGTCGATTTTCTTGTAGAACATGTAATTGCTTTCGAACGAAGGCTTCGTGCGCGTGCGGGTCTGAAAGACACTGGTGAGCTCCAAGTTTGTGCGACGTGGCGACGGGGACTCACAATATTCAACTTCAAGAACTTCTCAACATTGGACTGCGTCAGCCCGGAAGTCACCAGCCAGTGGGCTAGGTTCCATTCATCCTCGCCGGCGAACGGAGCCCACCGTGAGTCTTCTGCTTTCTTTGCGTTATGAATGCGCTCGAACAAAGTTTCAGACGTGCTGAGTGGTGTTCCGGCTGCCGTGGGGAAGTCCTCCACCCATGCTTTCCGAGGAAGACCGCCTTCCTCGATGTCCGGCACCTCCTCGACTGTCACAGCTCGCCCCTGGCGAGGGACATTCAGCTCCGGGCTGCGTGCTCGAGATACCTCATCTCTGGCGTTGCGAGTAGGACCCTGCACTGCGTCCTCCATCTCGACATCGGCTCGATCGTCCTCCCACCAAACTCCTGGTCCATCGCCGACTCCTCCTGGTCCGTCGACGACCATGCAGTTGCTCACAGCCGGTGTCTGAGTCAGGATCGGACCCAGGGAGTTCGCCGCAAGCCGTTGTTGGTCCTTGGCAGCGGCAGACGCCCGTTGACATTCGGGCTGGCTACTAGTATGCGCCGCTAGACCCTGTGCAGTCGCCAGCGTTTTGTGACAGTGCGGACAAGTGTTAGGTGGTAGTGGAGGGGCATCCATGTCAGTATAGCGGGGAGGTTGGGAGAGGGAGGGTCGGTGGACAGTGTCGCGGCATTGCGCAATACCAACCGGTGCGATAGGACTCCTTGATCGTTTCTGCAGGCTAACCAATCACCGCCCTCTTGGTCACGCTTTTTAGGCACCTTGATCGTTGTCTCTTGGAGCTCTCAGCAATCCGCAAAGCTGCCCTCTCCCTCTCCTGCTTCTTTCCTTCCCTTCCGCCCAATCCCGCCCTCCTCACGTTTTCCTTCTCTGTGCCCATGGCTCGCAAGCGTAAGGCAGTGACCGAGGACGACGACGAGGCTTTGCAGGAGCTGTCAGACGACAGTTCTGAGGAAGTCTTGCAGCGGGCCACACGGAACCGCCGACCAACTGTGAAGCAAGCGAAACTGAACTGTCAGTCCTCCTTTGTGACACTTCTTTCCGCAAAGCTGACATCTTGAGTACCTCACAAGTGGACGCCCAACGTGCAGCAGTAGACAAGCAATTCAGAGAGCTCAAGGAGCAGATGAAGGTCATCCAGAAAGCGGCTAAGGAACTTCGAGAAGGCAAGCAGGTCAATCTCGCCTTCCGTACATGTACTGACTCATTCTCCTTACTCTTGCAGTGCCAGAACAACCAGAGAACAGCACTGCCTCGCCCGAGCTTGACGTCGAGAGCGAAGAAGAGGACGGAGACGTCCTCAGAGAACGGCAAAATGAGTCGAAGGTATGTACTCGTAGCCCTACCGGGCCATTCCCTATGAACAACCAGCCATACTGACATCTCTGTCCACGTCCAGTTCAAGTCCCGGGGGCTGTATCCTGCGCCACTCCCTGCAGGACAACGCCTCCGACGCGAGGGAGAAAAGGCTATGCTGCGTACCACTTCAGCGGCGGTCAGTGCGACCAGTTCAAGCGGTAGTGGGGATAGTACTGCAATGTCCGCCTTGATGGCCGACCAAGCCACCACTGAGTCAACGTCGTCTTCTGTGACTCTGCTGGCAATTGCGCCTGCCCCCTCAGGGTCATCGGCTAACCCCCAGGATGCGCCTTCATTTGATGACTCTGCATCTCGGGGCTCTTCAGTCTCCCTCCTGTCGTCGTCTGTAGACAGCGATGAGAGCCGGGGACGTACGAGTCAGACTCACTCGCGGTCTTCCCAGGACCCCAGTCGCTCGCGTTCGCGCTCTGCAGTCCACCATGATCGCGCCCACTCGCACACCCGATCACATAGCTATGAACGCGCTCCTGTACGTTACCGTGATCGCTCTCAAGACCGTGACCGCCGAGGCTCTCGCGACCGCCACCGACACTCTCGAGGCCGCGGTCGCTCTCGGGACCGTTACAGACGCAGCCGGTCACGCTCTCCACGCTACTACCGCCAGCGGAGCCACTCTCTGTCATACGCTCATGGCGCGCGTTCCCGGTCGCGTGCGTCGACGTCAACTGCGGCGTTGTTGATGTCGAGTGCGTCCGGAACGTCCTCTGTTATGACTGACGTCTCCGCACCCGTTCGAGGGACCGCCACCCTTCCTGCACCCTTCAAGAATGGTAAGGTCCCTTCAGGCAAACCAAAGGCGAGCCATTACGAGCCTCGCGTGGCCAAGCTGGTCAACCACGCCTGCCACCAGTTCGAGGTACTACTGGCTACAGAACAACCGTTCCCTGAGCCAGGAGTGTCTGTTCAATGGGCAACCCGCGTGTGGACCGATGTTTGCCATGCCGTCCAGATGAACTATGTGCTTTCGGATAGCATTGAGAAAGTGGTGAGTACCGCAGTGCCATTATTGTATTTCATGGTTGAGACTGACTTCATGATGTACTTAGATCACTGCGCGCGCTTCTCATGCCCGCGGCGTTCTGCGGGACAAGATCCGCCCTCTTATTGCGCAGACATACGGGTTCATTTCCGATGGGACTGAGCGTGCGAAGGTCAAGAATATTGCGCTGTACACCTCTCTGTTAGACCGTGATGCTCAGCTCGAAGCGGAGCCGCGTTTCCATTACAAGGTCGGTGCCAAGACGTCCTTTGGTTTGCATTACTCACATACTATCTCGCAGGACGTCGAGACGAAGCAAGGCTTCGCGCAGAACAAGATCATCACAACCGTCAACAAAGCGCAGTGGTTCGCGGACACTGGGGCAGCTGGCGTCAAGTACAGCAGCCAGTTCTCACCTCTTCGCGAAGTGACCATCGCATTCATATTCACGACCGTAAGTGCGCTTCTATTGACTCGACATTGACCATGTATAATAATGTGCTCGCTGCCTCGCAGATCGAGTTCTGCCTGGACCAATGGGCCTCCGGGCATTACGACAAGCACCTTACCTATTCCGATAAGGTGTACCGCCCGAAGTACGCTGTCCATCTCCAGCACGTCAAAGACTGGTGTGACATCAATTGCGATGCGACGCGTGCGATCCGGCAGCGTATGTATGACCGCGCAAGGTCAGACATGTGCTCTCCCGGCTTGAGTCGAGTGCAATTTAGACTAATACCCCCTTCCCTTGCAGGCGATCGTCAGGAGCACCACCGGAGATGACAGCTCTCAGCGGCCTCTCCGATGCATCCCGCGACCGTCTCCGCCTCGAGATTGAGGCCCAAGCTACTGCTCAAGCCTCGGACGACGACGATTAGTGTCTCATGGACTTGTCTGGGCCCTGTTTACTTTTACCATAGCAATGTTTCCGTGATGCTGCACCTGTAGTATTCGTCAAATCGTATCCCGTGCCCCCGAAATTTGTGTGCATGACGTTTAGGATGTTCCTGTATGTGGCAATCAAGCCAGTATGTGGGGCAACGGTTGCTTGACATGGGTACATCCTGGGTTACAGGGGACTACATAACTCCCTGATTGAGCGACAGGTGACTACATCGGCACATAAGTGAGCTACAGGTTCGACATAATCGGGGGGTTGTCTACAAAACAACGAAACCTATATAGCCTACGTAGGTCGACATAGCAATGCCATTTTTTCCTGATGCGCCCCTTCTTCTCGGAAACCCGAAGTATCTATACACATCATGTCAGCGTACAGTCGTAGCAAAGACTCGGCGAGGGGCTAATATACACATACCTTCCTCGCTTCCTCAGTGAGGGCAAAGAAAGCATCAATGATGCATTCAAGAGCCTCGTCTTCAGGGCGTCCCTGGGCAAATTGATGCCTAGATATCTGTCAGACTGTGCGAAGGCCTACATGGATATTGCAGACTCACAGCTCTGCATACTCCTAGATAAAAGCGAAGTCAGCTCATAGCATTGAGACTGGCAGAGACAGTGTCGAAGCAAACTCGCCTCCTTTGTGACGGCGTCAAGGGCCTTGAAGGCACAGTCGAACCCGTCAGTGGTTGCCGTCGGGTTGTCCCTTAGGTACACATGTGCATAGAGATTTCTAGAGAGGGTGTCGTTAGCTGGCATAGGTCTCGGAGGTGGAGCGAGTGTCGGACCTTGCCGTGCGGCTCGTCTTCGAAACCCTCATCCGACCGGCCTTCTTCACGGTCCCTGGTCCGCCCTGGCCCAGACTGGCAGCCTTTGATGACTCCGGGGGCGCGGTCCTTGCTGCCACCACAAGGGCATCCATAGCGGGGGTCACCAGGTTGGGCAACGGCGGTGCCGCCGCATCCCGCAATATGTTCCTAGCAAACCGGCATCAGTGATGGTCACGTACTAGTCAGCGGCAGTTTGAACTCACAATGGATTCCCGACCTGTCAGGATGCCGAGGGGACGGTCAGATCCGTGCCATCACTGTCATGTGCTCGTTACTCACCATGAACTGCAACGGAGCCATTGGCCCCGGAACGTTAGGGGGGGCGCGCGCAGGCGCAGGCGCGGATGTAGGCGTCGGCTTGTGCGTCGATGTGGGCGTGCTAATAGCCATGGATGCGGGCGCGGGGTCGGGCGTGGGCGCGAAGTGCGATATGGATGGGGGACGGTTGTGCATGGGCGCGGGGTTGGGGTTGGGCGCGGGCGTGGGCGCGACGTGCGACGTGGACGGGCGGTCGGGCATGAGCGCGGAGTTGGGCGTGGGCGTGGGCGCGGGGACAGGCGTGTTGTGCGGCGGAGAGTCCGATGCGGTGGAGTTGGGCGTGGGCGCGGGGTCGGGGTCGGGCAACGGCGAGGGCATAGAGTCGGTTGGCGCAGGCGCAGATATGGTGTTGAAGGGCCGGGGCTTTGATGATTTGGTTGTCGATGCAGGTGGGGCCTAAGCGGGGTTCGGGTCGTAGGAGACTGCAAACGAGCCAAAGGCGACGTGCGCAGAGGCTGGCACTGGAGTCGGACCAGGTACGGCTTCAGGTGTCGGTGCAGTATCTAGGGGAAGATATCAATAAATAACGATTTTGACCGGCTTAGGAGTGCGCAGGCTGATCAGGGTACTTGCGAGTATGTTTCGTACGCTTGGATGAGCGAGCCTGGGAGGTAGAGGCAGTCTGGCGCTTCTTGCTGGATGTTGACCCCTCCGGGATGGCTGCATCGACATTTTCCTGTTTGACCGCCTCGCGTGCAGCCTTGGTAACATCGAGGCGTGTAAAGTCGGGATACATGCGAGTGAGGAGGACATGGAGGCGGAAATGGGCCTGGCACTTGGCAAGTACCGGGAATGCCTTGTAGACCTCCGAATACACATAGCGCGTCGCGTGCGTGCCGCTTGAGCCCCATGTTTCGGAATCTAGAGAGTGGCCTACTAGATCACGGAAGAGACGCTTGATGAGTAGCCGCAGTTCGGAGTAGGCACCATTAGTGAAGACGTTGCCGTCCTCGTCTTCAATATAGATGGGGACCCCAATCATCCGACATGGCCTGTTCGCTTTTTGAGCCGCCAGTGCTGTAGGGAGTCCAGTCTTCTGCCGTCCAGAACTTGAAGTGGCCGTGCTCGGCGCTGTCGTATGTGGGACTGGGATAGTCCGTGTTCGGCACGAGTAGGCCGTTGATAGTGACATGAGTGGACGGGCTACCAGCGGGCGCACCATTCAATGACGCCCCCCCGGGTTGCCCCATGGACGCATATAGGCCTCTGTGATAAGGATAAGTAGCATATATGCGCGCATATAACAAGTACTTACTTCATAGCTCGCACTGTGGCCAGGAGATCAATGTTGGCATTTTCCAGGGCTTTTGCTCGGCACTTTAGCGCGCTGATCTGCCGTAACGCGTGCATATACTGATGATGGGGGACGGTCTGTTCGCCCTGATGTACTTCAGGTGTATTGTACCCTGTTGTACGGTTGCTGGTCTTGATAGGCAAGCACGGGCAGTTATACGCTGTCGGTCTTGGGGTCGGACAATATAAGTGATGCTCACCGATAAACCTCCTTCAAGAACGGATCCATCCATCCGGTGAAGGAAAGGGGTCCTAGGGGTGACTGGAGACATACTAAATTCCGACGGTCCTGACGGAGAGTGGTATGTTTCCGAGAAGGCATTGGTAGAGTTAAATTGCAGAGCGGACATATCTAACTGAGGCAAGGAATTGTTGTGGAGGTTTTTCGCAAAATCGAGGGCATGGGGCCTGAGAAAGTCGTCGTCGAGGGGGTCCATGATGGTGGTACAAGGAAGAAAGGCCAAGTCTTCGTGGAGGGAGTACGCGTCACTTCCTACTCACCTGCCATTTCGAGACAGCATTAGGCGCCCACGCAAGAACCCGCCCTAGCTCTGCCATGAGCGCCTCCTCCCGACCACTCTCGCGTACTCCCACCATGTCTTTCTCTGGCAAACACTCATCTAGAGAATCCTCTGGAAATCTAGCTGAGGATGAACTGTCCGAGTCTCAACCTGGATCAGCTGAGGCTTTGCAAGACTATCACGGTGCCCGGCACACAGAAGACTCGGCTTTCGGCTGCGCCGGCTCCCCTATGCCCCGCGTTTTGGAGGAGTTCATGAAGGTGGAGGACCGCTTTCGGTGAGTTTTATCATTTGTCTACATGGATTACAATACTGTTATCTCATCTACAAATCAGTTTACAGCGTGAAGGACCCAGAAATAGCTCTGACAACCTCCTTCTGGTGTACCACAACCTCGACAACCCTCTGCGCGCGCACTCGAGCTCACCATCCTTGTCTTCTGATCTGCGGCTCGACCCTGCTAGTTCCATAAAAGCCCAGCTGGGTTTTCGCCGTTTTGCTAAGCTAGCTGCTGAGAGCTGCGCTTGGCTCTCACGGACTGGGAACTCCGTCGAAGATGTTCAAGCCGCATACCTATCTATCATGCAATCACTGGATGGACTTCGCGAGAAGTTGTTGGAGCTCCCATTTGAGGACAAGGATTGGATTGGCAACAGGTGCGTCTTGGCACGACCATATCTGTAGTGCATATAGCTCACACTTTCCAGCTCTGCGCCTCGTCTCCCGTCCCTCCTGGAGAAATCCGAGGAGTGCGGTGTAGATGCCGCTGCGGACATTACACTATGCGCAGCTGAAGACGGGTGTCTCGGGCCCAGCGACACCCCGGCCAATGGGCACAAGGTCTATACACTGCCACTCACGACCCCTAATGTACACCGTGACCTACATACACCCAGGCTTGACCTCTCCCCACCCCTCTTCCCTATCCACCCTTACGTACTGTCCCCGGATTCCATGGAGCTCGTTGTCCCCACATCGGATCCCCGCGAGATTGAGTACCCCTTTATGATTGTACCATCCCTCGAAAGTCGTCTATCCCGGTGTTTCTGACTTTCCTCGCGATGTTTTGGGAGCCCAGTGATCCGATTGTATTTGTAGCATATAGTACTAGTCGACGTCCATATCCAAATCAATATCCCCCGGCACCGTCACCTTCACCTCGAACCCGAGCTTGTCGGCAACAAAATACTTCTCTCCGACATGTAAGTGACCGAATTCTAATGCAAAGTCAACCACCGGCATCACATCTGGGATCATACCAATCCCCGTCTCGATAGTCTTCGCGTTTATGACACAGAGTGACTCGTCGCCGCGGTACTCGTGGAGCTCGACTGTTTTGAATGAACGCTGGTATAGATCTTCGTCCCGTGGTCTGAAGACTGATACGAGTGCAACCGCTTGCTCCGCACGGCCGATGCGAGTGAAGTATTGCACATCGCCTATCTTGATCTGTCCGGTCGCGTCGCAGAACTGAGGTGAGGTTGTTAGTCGACGTAGTAGCAGTCCGTGTGCATTCTTGCCTTGACAACCCGCCCAAGCCGCAGCTGGGACAAGGGCTTCTCATGCTCTGTCCAGGCAGACCGGACTGCGGTCCCATTTGGCACGTGCATTCGCGCCCATTTGCGAACCTTGCATGTGAAGGTCTCGCGCTCTTCGCCCTCGCAGCTCTCGGGTTCCCAGACAGACAGATAGTCATAGAAAGCAGCCGCCTCCAAGGCAGGGAGAGTCCGCGCGCAGGTGTCGAGTTTCCGAAGCAGCGCATAGCCGTCGCCCAGGTCCTTCGCGGCGCGAGGCAGGACATTTAGCTTCTGTCGAGCACGATCAAGGTAGGGTAACATTGACTTGACCGCATTGATTTGGCATCGTCGAAGAGCGCGCTGAGAGAGGTTCATGAAAGGGTTGGAGGGCTGCTTGATCTCGCACCCGAGGTCACCAATGAGCCGCTCAGTTGGGAGTTGCGTGCAGGTTTTAACCGATCCGAGCAGGATGACCTGGTCAGGGCCATGCCAGACAAGATGTATGCATGGTCGGACAATGTGTAGGTGATCTGGGTCCCGAGCATAGTAGAGCGCCTCGTATTCTTCGACAGCCCCAGTCAACAGTTCCTTGGATTCGACTAGCTCCTCCGGAAGGATGTCCTCCGCGTAGAGGATTTTGACCCCGCGCACGAGCTTGCACAGCTGGAGCCAGTAAGCCTCCGGGAGAAGCCAGCGGAGCATTGCCGGCAGATAGTTGTAGAACCATGTCATAAACTCAATCACTTTGTACCCGCTGTTGACCTTCTCGGTGATGTTGCGTGAAGCGCGATCGAAGAAGCCAGGGAGGTACGATGTTGCACGCTTGACTTGCACCCCATACGCCGTCCATACGTCAGAGCCAGCTAAGACAGCGCAGTCCCAGGTTTTTGGGTCGGACTCGATGCTTCCCTGGATCGTGCCGCGCCAGAGACTTAGGAACAGGTCGGGGAGGTTCAGACAGGTAAGGTGCATCATGTCGAGAGGAAAGCAAGTGGGTACGGGGAGTGCGCGCGGAAGTCCGGAGACGATACTGGGCTTGCAGAGACCAGTCGCCTTGCGTAACTGCTTGAATTGCGCTTCGCTCCGTGCTGACAAGAGTAGCTGCAGATTGCGTTGGTAGGCCTGAACAGACGGTAGCGGTATCGATGCGAGAGAGATGTCGTTATGATCACAGCCAGGTACAGGATCACCCAGTGGTTTGAGGAGTGCAGGGTAGTAGTGCGGGCACCCCGGCTTGTGCCGTCCCGGTAGACCACAAAGTACACGGCAGCCGAGGTTGCCGTGGTGCCCGACAGTGCCCTCGAACATAGCCATGCCGGGTCCATCAGCAGTGCCAAGAGCGAGGAACAGCTTCGAGACAATGCGAGCCTGAAGACGAGCATGGTAAGCGTTGAGACCCTCACGCATAAGCGCAGATATGTGATAGAACCCAGGAAAGAGGAACGAGTCCAGGACCTCAGGGTGCTTCGGGCCAGGGATGATAGCGCCAGGGAGAATGTAGACCTTCTTGTATCGTTTGTCGGGACTGATGCTGACAAGGACCCACAGAGAGATCCAGCAGTCAGACTTCTTGTTCCGATAGAGCTGAGCACCATCGATAGAGTGCATGAGAATGACGTCGTGTGGACCAAGAGTGCCGTCAGCTACCAGACGTAGGAGCTCCGTGCTCGAGACTAGATCGTAGTATTTCGAGAGAGAGGGCGCCCCGAGAGGCGTAGATGCAATGATCTCGCACACCGCCTTGTGGAACCAGCCTAGATCATCAGTGCCCTCCTCTGACCGGTAGACAGCTTGCACCTGGGGGCCCGGCAGCATAGTGACAAACTTCTGCCAAGGAACCTTTTTCCCGGCGGCGAGCTTGACTGGACAGTACCGGGGCTGGCCGCACTTGTGACAGTGGTTGTGGGCAGCGAATGGCCCGGTGAAGCCTATACAGCTGTTGATGCACATCTCGTCGATTTGCCCTACAACCCCAGACATTTTCTCGATCTCCTTCTTGACCTAGAAGAGAAGTGAGACGCAGTGATCCGCAAATGAAGTTTGGGATATTACCTTGTACAGGCTAAGTGCCTTCATCTGAGGAAAGCGATGCATAGTGGCGGCTCGAATAGCGAGATACGACTCTTCTGAAGCGTTGCCGACCGCCATGTATACTTCTACCCAATAGAGAATGTCTGGATCGTCAATCTTGAGGGGTTCTTGAGGTGGGTTGCGAATGCGGTCGATGACTTCCACAGAGAGGTTGCTACCGTCGAGCATCGCTTCTTGTATCAGGCGAATGAACTCGAGGCTGTCTTTCATGTCGGTGAGCGTGACCTTGATTGGCGGCTCGTCCATCTCTCGAGGGCGATCTACAAATGCAGGTGAGCGAACCTGACGTGCGCATGTGCTCATGACGGCTGCTCACTCTCCGGCGCAGGACTCCCATCAGGTGAAGGGGTTCTGTCAGGACTGGGGGGAGGTGGAGGCGATGGGGTGCGGTCAGGTGAAGGAGGAGGACTCCCTTGAGGAGACGGAGGAGGTGTGGGCTCGGGTCGTGTCGTGGAGTCGCCAGCGCCTCCCCTCCTAGGCTCTGCCTACGCCCACCAGAACTCGGCCCAGACGCCACAGCACCCTCGCAGCACCTCAGCATTCGCCTCCCTCCCCTTAGAGCGCCTCACACAGCGCCTCTTTTCCATCATCAACCTCGCCGGTCCGCCCCTCCCTAGCGCCCTTACGGGCGCCCTGCCTCCCGGTATCACCGGACTTCCATCATACTCCCTACGTCACTCCCTACGTCACCACAGTCATTACGATTACTATAGCACCCTGAAGGACGTCATAGGTATTAGTCTAGCTACAGGTCACATGATCGTTGGTCACATGCTTCATACTCACCCTAGGTACCAAACACGTACAAATAGGTACCTGGTCTGTGCGCACCTGCTCCAGTATATAGGTAGAATAGATCCTGCACCTGTTCCCCATCTCGACCTCTTAAGTCATTGGGGACAGGTAAGCACCTCTTGTACTAGGTGGTCAAGTCAATATACTTAAGTCATTGGGGACAGCTTTGGCCTTCGTCGCCGGCCTCCTCCTTGGCCTCTTTCAGGCAAGTTCCCTGGCACGCCCCTGTCGCAACCCCAGACCTCTGTCGGGGTTCGCTGAAGGGTGCCTCTGCCCTGTAAGCCCCTCCCTCTCCTCTCTCACCTCCTCCCATCGTCGTCCCCGCACGGACTCGGCGTGGGCCAGCACCACCTCCGTAAGCAGGTCGGTCCGCTGTCGTCCCTCGTCCCGGGCCTCCGCGACAGGTCGCGGAGAAGGTGTCCGGTTTGGTGAAGGCGGATGTGGTGACTGGCGATGCGGAGGCGGTGTCTGGTTGGGCGAAGGGGTCCGGGGAGGCGAGGGCGATGATTGTGAGCTGCCACTCCCCTGCGTAGACATAGCACAATAGTTAGACGCGAAATGGGTACGCATATATGCGGACATACGGATGCTGCAGCTATGGCGCGGCTTCCACGCTGCTGATTTGCCTTTTTCCGGATGCGCTTGTGCAAAACCGTGGGTGCATTTGCGTGCTCGTCCAAGCCCATGGCAGCAGCACGCAGCGGGCGGTGGTTGAACCAAGTCCTGCGGGAAACCCAGTGTCCTCCCACGAATTTCTTCTTTGCTTGGCATCACAGGCAGTTGCACCAGATTTTGGTGCCATCTTGGTCGCTGAGCGATGGCATGGCTCCCTATTCGGAGATGGAGAGAAGGAAAGTGGTAGATTGCTGTGAGACGAGCGGGAGCATACAGAGTAAGGTTCACCACGGGTCAACCCCCGGGTATTTTAGACGCACCCGCACCCGCACCCGCACCTACCCGCACCCGCGGACCCAAGGGTCTGACGGGTTTTTCATTTAACGCCAGGTCTCGCGGGTTGGGCGCTTAATAAACCCGCCACGGGTTACCCGCGGGTCAGATAGCAATGACACACAAGTTGACACACTCGAATATGCGCACAGAGCACTGCCGTGGGATGGCCAAAGTAGTATACATCAGTCGCTATCTGAGTCCGACGCAGACACCGTGCGCAGAGAAGGCATACTCGAGTCTGAGCCACTACCGTATCCTGGGTCTGAACCTGTGCCCACTACGACATCATCGTGCTCAGGATCATTCATGTTGCCCGCCTGCCAGTGCCGAAGAGCCTGAGGCAACCTATCTGTCAGTCAGAAAAACACGTAGCAGGGGAGGGGCACACACACCTGATGCTCTTCAGATGCCCAGTCAAGGACAATGTCCAACTGACGCTCACCCGTCAAGCCCTGCGCTTCCGCAACGCGCCGCAGACGTGCGAGGAAATGAGGCCAGTCGCGTTGGCGGCTTCCATCCTGCGCACTGCTGAAATTCATCAGTGCGTTCGCGAGGCCGCGCAGGACAGCACGTTGGTGCGCAGTGGTCTCCTCCGGGAGAACACCGTGACTGGTTGGATGTTCGAGGATGTTGAGCCAGCCTTGCCAGCGGGCCCGGGACTCCTCGAGCTCGGCGAAGCTGTCACTTGGCCTCATGAACTGAACAGGTCGTAATGGTCAGCTAAGCGTATGCAGAAGGTCATTGAACACTCACATCGACCTCGGCGAGTTGCCCGTCTAGCCGTGCAACAACATGGGTGAAGGAGCCTTGCGGACTCGTCCACCCGTCTACGACAAGCTGCATGTGGGGTGCAGGAGGCTGAGCAGTCTCCTCGTCCGATTCTGAGCCCTCCGGTGGTGTTTCCAGGCCAGGATAGTCGTCCTCTGAGTCGTTGTCGCCATCGTTGAGGGGTAAGGCTATGCTGGAGGGTGTTTGTACGAGGTTGCAGTGCGGGGGAGGCACCGTCACTAGTGCAGTGTGTGCGAGCACCACAGCATCGGCCATGTCGTCGGAGAACCGTGCCGCCGCGTCAGGGGACAGCGCCATCGCCCCGTGGGGGAGCCGCACCGCCGCCTCGTCGGGGAACGGTGCCGCGGTGTCGGGGGACAGCGCCGTCGCGTCGTCGGGGAACAGCGCCGTCGCGTCGGCCGCCTCATTGGGGAACAGCACCGCCGCGTCGGGGGACAGCGCCGCTGCGTCGTCGGGGAGCCGCACCGTCGCGTTGTTGGGGAAAAGCGCCGTCGCGTCGGCCGCGTCATTGGGGAACAGCGCCGCCGCGTCAGGGGACAGTGCCGCCGCGTTGTTGGGGAACGGTGCCGTTGCGTCGTTGGGGACCGTGGCCGTGGAGCGCGTTGTCGTATGCTATCCGGGAATCGGATGATTGATAGGTGAAAAGGGGTGAGGGGTTGGGCGATGTTGATTCCCTGATGCTGCCGCAAAGCGTGTGGGGTTTCCTGCTTTTCCAACAGTGGCTTCGCCGAGTTCGTGACTAAGCCGGGCGGGCTATGATCCTTGAATAACTGCTTGTGTGGTGGTGTGTGGGTGATTGTGGTGTACTGAGACCTATGCGGAAGTCTCGGATGGTGGTTGCCCTGAGTATCTGGGCAGAGTCTCCCCTATACTGGTTGGGAGTGTTGCGTGCTGGCTGCGTAAGGCTGCGAGTGCCTGTCTTCTAGACCCCGTATTAAACACACCCTGTGGTATGTCAAGTGACGTGTCTTCCTGGCTGTAGACCCCGTATTAAACACACCCTGAGTGGTGCGTCAAGTGACGTGTCTGTTCCGGCTCTA